AAAACGTTTCGATTAAGTGAAACAAATACAACAAAAGTGTGAATATCTCGACACTAATCGCTATAATACACACAAATAGGAAATAGTAATGCGATTTGCATTCAGGCTTTCTATCAATTTTGGTTTGGATTGTAGTTTCGGTTTGCGTTTCATTTGTCATTTGAGTTGTGGTTTGGGTTTGGGTTTGGGTTTGATTGCTATCTTTATTGACATTCTCTGCACTCTTATCATAACAACCGATTCCAATGACCAAAACAATTATCACAAGAGATGCCGACAAAATAAATATCTTCTTATAATGAGTACAATTGTTGAGTTCATTACAGTCCAGACGTATTCGTCGGAATCGGGATTTGTTGGGCGGCTTCTGCTGAATGAACACACGATTCCTATACCGCAGAGGAATGTATTGCTGAACCTGTGATTCCGGTGTCGGCTCTGTCTTTGATTCGGGAACCGTTTGTATTGAATCAATTGACTTTAGCTTAGATTTGGGCGAACTTTGCCTCTCTTTGTCTACCGTTTTGTTATCACTGATATTCATTGTCTCAGCCGTTGAGCTCATTATAGATTAATGATAATTAGTAATTACAATAATTATAACTTAACAGTTAGTTGTTTTTATATCGCATTTACTCTCAATAAATATCCGTTTCAAAATACATTATTAGTTTAAATCATTTATTTTTAAAAAGTTTTTGAAACATTTAACTGAAATCATATCTCGAGAGAGTAATGAGATTTTGATGTAAAAACTTGCACTTTATTTGCATATTATTAAATGTTTCAATTATTTGTGTGCTATTGTATGAACTTATAAATTATACTAATTATGTCATAAAAATACAACACAATTGCCATTTATTCTAACATAAAGTTGAATTTATAATAAAAAGTAAAGCATTAATTCAAATAACTTAACAAATGTTTGAATAAATTTTTTGCAATTTTATTGAGTTTGATTTTCAATTAATTTAATAAATTAATTGTTTTGCTTTCATGCATTCAAATGTCATTTATTTTTATTAACTATCGATTAAATGTTATTAAAGTAACTAGTAGTATTTATAAAATAAAATATAAATGATTTTATTTCTTAAGTTCAGCCATTCTGTTGAGAGCACTGCCGGCTTTAAACCACTGGATCTGTAAGTCATTCAATGTGTGCTTCAATTCAATCACATCTTTTGATCCGTCCTTATGTTTGAGTTCGCATTTAACTGTCTTTTGTTTCACGATTAAGATTTCAATTAATAAACTGTTAATACAATTGACTCAATCAATACCTTTCCCGGCGATAAACTCTTGAGTTCGAGTAATGATATTCTGTCCGTCGGTTGGATTTTGTCGTAATTTTTGGGGTCGGAGAAAGTCAATGGAAGGACGCCTTGCTTTTTGAGATTGGTTTCTATCAAACAAAATATTCCGCAATTAAAATACAATTCTAATCACGAAAACAATGAATACAATTATACCGTGAATTCTGGCAAAACTCTTGACAATA